CTCCCAGATGAGTCTGGTACCAATTCACCGACCCCGAAGGGATGAAAGGCTTGGCTCGCCTAGGCGGGTATCAATCCGAGATTCGAACCCTTGACCGTGCGTGTGAGATAGTGCACGGTCAGGGGTTGCAGCTCTATATGTACATATAAATAATAAGTGGAGAGGGCTTACTAATGTTGTACAAATGATGCACTACCGTATATGCAAGTTCGAATCACGGAATAAAACCCGCCCAGATCAACCTCACCTTCCTTCAGTCCGGGGTTGGTTAATTGGAATTAAACTCGTATGAGAGGTTAAAGCAATGACTTGTATATCGGGTGTCTACCGCAAGTCGTTGGGTAGACCCAAAAACATCCAAAGCATTACTGCGATTCCGAAAACGAGCCGAACGCGAAGGCGCATCGTGGAATCCATTGGCACTGGAGACTTTAACCTATCCTTGGTAGAATTGCTTAACAAGCCAGAGCTGTCTTATCATGATGACGTAATCCCGAGCTTTCTCCTGCTTCATACTCGATCAGTATGTTTGAAGAGGATCTGCGATTTGAAGCCTGCTATAGCTTCACTTAACAATCAGAGTTCCCTCATATTCCGTCAACCACTATAAATGATGTCAATTCTCAACTCACCAATTTGCTATATCCACTAAAACCTCCTCCAGTTTGGGAGATTTAGAGAGCACGCACGATTGGAGAGCCTATAAGTTTGCGTATATTGAAATGTTTCCATTTCCTACGTCCTAGATTTTTGTTAACTGAACAATCAGAAGGAAGTGAGTGAAAGTATGACACTGAAATTCGCCAAACCTCCTCGTCCGTTCATTAAAGAAGTGTTACTGTAAAGTTAGACTTACCGCCTTAGTTATCCTCTCGGTTACTGACCACCGTTTTTCATCGTTGACATCAACGGGTTCAAGAGCTTTAGCAATTATAGCATTGACAGCCAGTTGAGCTTGATATGTTGTAGAGAGTTCTTCTTTATGTTGGCTGATGTACTGGAACAAAATAATATCCAATTGAGGAATGATTTGCGGTATTTTGACCACTTTTGTTTATTTACCCTTGTTTATGATTGCTGGAATTTGATGTTTTCTTAGTTTCTCCAGGGCTGCTCATTTTTGTTGCCATTATTGTGGCAACCATGGAATCCCATGCAATTTTGTTCATACCTATGGGTATGTAAACCGACAGAATACCATGGTAGGGATTCATGCCTTGTGGTCTTGTATCTGGTCTCTATGGTTGCCTATTGCAGTTTCGTACTGTGGTCGCCATGACGTGGAGGTGTTTTCATTTTGAGTTCCAAAGATACGTGGGTCTGTAAAGTTTCTCACCAGGCCGGTTTGTCCGAGTTGAACAGCAGCGTGTCTTACCTTCACTATCTCTCTCAAAAGCTTTCTACCGGGAGTAGTAGCCATTCGCTGTCATTTGTTTATGACCCGGCGATCGGTATGGAGTTTTCGGGTTGAAGCTAAATTCTAGTGAATCTATGGAGTGTTGTTGCAAAGATTAGCCCTTGAAGATAGGATCGGACGGATGGACCACAAATGCCCCTTATCAAACAGGCATTGACCCTAGAGGACTGACTGGGAGTCTTTCAAATAAACTGTCTTCATAGTTTCGTCTCTATCTGTTATATTACTGCCACTAGAACTGCCTGCTTTATTAGATTTGACTCTGATTAGATTTATTTTACTCTCATGGAGGAAACTTCTATGATTGAGGATTATGATGAAGTAGGTCGGTGAAGGTCTTCCCGTTATAAGCTGACCGGTTAACCTGCAATCTAGAAGCGATAAGCGAAGAAAAGCAAAAGGGCAAACATATAAATGACTCTTCTACGATAACGGGAATGCGAGCAAAATATAATAAGACAGCAGTGTTAACAGTTCAGTCGGCTCAAAAATCTCCTTTGTCCCATCTATAACCAATTTTCCGGCTATCAAAACGAAAGTATTTAATTATACACCAGTTCGAGGCATCATAGAGGAACTGTTGAGAGGATGATTTGGTTATTCATAGGCACAGCTTGCGATAGTTTTTATGTTTCTAGTCTTAGGCGAGTAATGGAAGTCTTTTCCAGAATAGTGCGGACCCGTTAGCTTCCCTTGTGCTATCCTTGACTACTTCCGGGTTTCGGGTTACCGTGATCTGCGTCCTCAAATTGGAAGAAGGCTACAAGGAATCATTATATCTTTGAATAATTCATAGTAGAGATTTCCTACTGGGACGAGTCGATAGGGCTAGAGATAGCCCATTTCCCGGACCGTTTCCCGGCCGGAAAGACGCCTAGTTGAGGCGTAATAGGGCTGAAAAATTGTCGCCATTATATTTCACACTCAGAGAAAGCCTTGCTTTAACGGTCTTGTGGAGGCTGCACCATTAACGACGGGGTGGCTGAGAATTTTCTAAAACTACAGCTCAAGGTGTGAGGATTACGCTTAAGGGAATTTATACTTCGAAAAACAGCGGTCTGTGTGCTTTCATCGTAACACATGCACCAACATTTTGGCTTCATAACTTGATCCTCGCTGCATCACTCTCAGAACTATAATAATTCACCAAAGCAAATTCACTCTGCTCCGAGCCAGGTGAAGGTGGATTCTGTGGGTTAGATCAAAATTGAAATATTTTCAATACTTTTTAACTGAATTGTCGCTGTAGACCTACACTGCCACATGTAAATTGGAAGAAATCCTCGCATGGATCCACACTCTCGTTGATGGAATTGCGCAAGAGCGAAGCCGCGGCCTGAAGTAATATATGGATCATTCTTTGAAAGAAGAGAACAATAACGGCCATGGCTATTAGCAACTGAAACTTTGAGTCAATTTTAAAGTTAGGGGTCCGCTATCTCATAGAACCCAATCTTTCTATATCGCGGCATTACCTTACTTACAGGCCTGAGAATGCTCCTGTTATTTCTATCGAAAAGATCTATTCGCCTCGACACCTTAGCTCTGATAAGGAGGAGCTTGAGTTGCAAACAAGCACTTGCCCCGAAAGACGAAAATTGTTATAGGCCTCTCTCTCCTTTACGGCAGTTTACTCATTTTTTCTGTCGTTCAAGCTCCCAACAAATTATTTCGGTTGTGCAGCCACTTGGGCCAATTTGGCCATAATTTTTGCTACCCATGTTTGGCTGAAGACAAAATTCGTGCTCTAAATCTTACGGCCGCGTACTCGCACGCGGCAGATCTTTGATAGAAGCCTCGCGGCGTCAGAGTGAAATTACCGTAATACCAACTGAATTCGAACCGCATTATGAATAAGGGTTGAAGATCGGGCGCCCTCTCAAAATCTCACTTTCCACCCTACTTCTGGGTGGCTCTAGCTCGTGAAGCCTTTGTTGTTATCCTGCTTCTAGCTTTCACTTTGAATTACTTTACTGGCTTCTGTTAGGATACTGCCACGGTGCACTTACCTTCCATGGAGGCGTGAACAGAGCTTCACCGTAGCTTGGACAGTATTTTGAACTGTTGACGTGGATTGATTCTGAACTCAAGGGAGACAGTTCTCCTGGAAATGCCACACGTCGTTTGAGATCAGTCCAGCGTTCATGTAGACTTGGAAATATCAGTTTCACTGGATTCGAGCCAATTTCCGCATTATAGTCATCCATGTAACGCATGAAAACAAGAACATTGATCACCAGTGAGGCGATCGCTGCGGCGACCACCAAAACGCCCAGGCCTAAATTGTAAAACAGTAAGGAATCGTAAGATGTAAACAGTCAACAACAAATACATGCAAAAACAAGAGGCTCGCTCTACGCCCTCGAAGCCATTGGCTACAGTGCGGAAAGGATCGGTAAACGCAGTGATTAAGACTTCACTGATTGTGAGCAAGGACTCGATTCTTGGCTTTCGTTTCGCTCGTCGCTTAGTCGTCAGAATCCACGTAGCAAAGGGTCCAGACGCTTTTCCAACACCCATTCCCAAATGCGTCTTCTAACTACACTGTGTTCAATTATGAACAGCCACCTATGAATTTTACTAAAGCTCAAGTTCCAGGGCACTTCAGTCCTAGTATGGAAAGTGTGCCCTATTCGGACTGTAACTGGTTGACCAACAGCGAGTTCCATCTTTGTAGCATGGGCAATTTCCTTTTTAGTTCATCAGAAAGGTCACTTTCCTATGTTCGCTAATGGTCATTGATCGAATCAATTTATTCAGTTTTAATTTTATCATTCAAATTGCCATATCATATCAATATCATTGTTGAATAAATAGGTTTGGTCAGTGGCTATTCCGAAAAATGAACGCAAATTGTTCATGTTCTTGTGATGGAAGCCGCTGTTGGTCTACAAAACATGGTCCGTATAGGGCACACTTTTCATACTGAGACTTTTTCTGAAATGTCCCGGAACGGGCTTAGTGGAGCTCATAGGTGGCTGTATCATTATTGAAGATAGTGTAGCAGGCAATGGTTCTAATCATTAACTCAAAGTACATAGCAAGTACTCTAAACATCTGTCCCTTATCACGCTTTCATTTGATAGATTTTCGGGACTGATTTCTTCATCGAACACCAGGTACCTCATGCTCGTAAGTTCAAGCAGGAGCAGCTTCCCTAGAGGTGCTTTAGCCTGATCACCCGACCTGAAGTATTGAATAAATGTCATATATTCCCCAGTGTTGATGATCAGTTTTGATGCAGCCAGGGCGATTGATTCACCAAGCAGGACCCCTTTATCGGTGGTGTACTTCTCACGGTTGGTCGATTAACTATGAGTCAGAATGGAGCGAAGACAATTTTGATCGATAGCATTTCATCAATAAAGGCTAGCAGGCCGTGTGGGAGGATTTTCAATCAGCCTGATTCTGATACCGTAAACACGATTGATGTTCTATTATATAATAGTAGGGCCACAACTCTTCCAAACCCTAACAGTGGGAAAATATTGTCACGGCCGAATCCTCGATTGCTGGCTAGTGTCCTGACCGGCGGAAGGCCAGCAGCAGCTGTGCCTGTTTGAGAAAGTTTCCTTCTCTCAACGAATGGGCATATGATCACCAAAGATGAGTGCTGGTAGGAACAACAGACGCCTACTGCGACGTCTTGACCGATCCCTCCATCCTCAACAAAACCCGAAGCGTGCAGTAAGAGAATGATGTTCTCTTCTTTCTGGGATGGAAGTGCTAGATTCCAAACAAAGGGTCGTTACAGATATGTGCATGAAAGAACCATGAGAGTAGCTGTAGCAGTGCGAGGAAAATGGTTCGCTGCCGCTTTTAGCCAGCATGTATTCGATCCTCACACCACAAGGTAGGATGCCAAGTGGGAACTAGACTCGATAACGGAAAACATCCCAAGAACTTGCGCCAGGGAGTGTCATTTGCTCTGGGGAAAAATCAAGGGACCACATACACTTTGGAAACAATTTCATGGTTTTTCAGATCTCTGCATCACTTTACCTTGGAGTAATGTGTACAATAGTACCCTACATTTGCCGATAGGGGGGGGGGGGG